AATTTGAGAGGCAAAAGGGTAATATTAGAATTCAAAGTGATAAAAATTTAAAAACACGATCACACTAAATCCGATAAGCTGGGATAACATACTGTGCTATTATGGTTATCGTTTATTTCAACACGTATGGTGTGATTTGGGTGTGATAATCATGTGATTATCACACAATTATCACAAGGATTCCGCTCGGCTAGGGTTAACTTAGGAAATCGATTATACGATTTGGTGTGATATGAGTGTGATAATCAATCTCATCAAAGATTACAGTAACATACAATTTTAAATTGAGATATTTATCACATGTGCTAAACATTAAAATTTTCAATTACAAAACTACTATAACATTAAACTCAAATCAACATGTACCACTAACTATAAATCGACTAAAAATGTTGACATTCACAATTTCATATACCTTTTATCACATGTGATCAAAACACTCATATACTTATAATCCTGACGATAACGCAACCGATTTAAAAAAAAGATATGAAATAATATAGTTATATTAAGAGGCATTATCTGAATTATTAAACAGTGAATCTTATTTGGCTTAAAAAAGTCTGTCTCTTAATGACTAAAACCTTCTGAATAATTTTGTATCTTGGGTCTTTCTTAACCATTCGGTACCCTAATTTTATTCTAAAAAATTATATTGTATTTTGCATTATATCATAAAAGCATCTTAATCATTCTCACCACTTCATCATTCTACATCAGACCATTCAGCAACTACCAATAACCAAACAATCCCTAAATCATTTAATAAAATGATTCATTGAAATAATCCCCTTAGAAATAAATAACTGAGATACAAAGTCCCAAACTATGTCGGCAATTTTATAAAGAAAAATACTCAAATATCGCTTAAAATACAATTTTTTTAATTGTAGGCGTATTTTGGTAATTTCATAGCTCTAGATATGTATTTTTTTTATTAACCTGAATATCCAACCCTCTATGCGAGCCGACTAATTCCAGGACGACCACCTGCTTCGTGGGTAGCCCAGAGTCACCGCATTTGAAACTCCGTGGTCACAAGAAGATTTTTTTCCATTGCAATAAAATAACAAATCATATGATTAGGCTGGTGGTAAGCAACTGTTATTTCAAACCGTTGGCAATCATGGTACGATTTTTGGAGTTTTGAACTCGATTTTGACTCATTTCTTGTTATTTATTTACCAAAACTTTGGTAATATTTTACCAACATTTTGATATAAGTAACATAATTTTTCGTCAAGAAATAAGTTTCATTTAAAGTTTAGGTTTTTAAAATTAAAACCCAACAACTTTGAACACCAGATCGACCCATTAAAACATAAATCTAGTGAAAAAGTCAAATAAATCAAGGCCATACCAGCCTCCACGTTGCTGCCGATCGAACAGATCTTTTTGATTTCTTGCAAAACAGGTCCCTCAAGTTTGGATCTCTTGCGGTTTTGCCTCTTGACTTTCCAGAGTTTACGGTTTACCCTCCTTGACATAAAAATTTAACATTTTTTATCCAAGTGAATGTCATCCATTCAATTCACTTATTACTTTCATTAAATGATAAGATTGACCCCTCAAAACTTCATTTCTACACTTTTGGTCTAATAAAATTAAACTCATTTTATTTTATTTTTTCATTTTTTTGCTTTTCATAATTATTTATTAACCCCAATACCCCATTTTGGGGTGTGACAAGAAAAAATAAAAAGGAGACAAAAATTACACTATTATATTGTTGTTATATTAAAAAGACTAAAAAACCCCTTAGCTAACAGACGTTTCTAACATAAGTTGGTTTAAGGGATCAAAGTGAAGCAAAATGACAACTACAGTGATAAAAAATGTAATTAATTCAAAAGAAGAATGAGTGTTGCTAGTGGGTGGCGAGGGTCATCCTTTAGCATGTTAAATGTAAGATTTTGAACAGTGCCCCCGAAATTTACATGTGTTTAGGGTCTTTCTATTGATCTGTGTAAAACTATAGCCGAAAATTATTTAGGTTCAAACCATTACTTATTTGGTTTTACGTTCAAATTATTAATGGTTTATGTTTAATTTCAGTGTTAATTGTTTTAGGTTTAGCCCATTTTTATTCTTAACATATATTTCCTGTCATCTCATTTATGCAATGTAATCAAAAGTTTTGAATGTAGCAGAACCTTCAAAAAGATTGGAACATCCCTGTGGGTGGCAAGCGAGACATCGACTGACCTAATTCATACATTGTGACCATCATTTTTAAATCACGTCTTAAATAAAACTTTCTTAAAAATTGTTCAAAAAGACATATGTGTTATTGTTGCATATGAATTATATATAATCTATCTATTTTGGCCAAGAAAAAGAATCATTATATTACATGATGTGGTTTTCACAAAGTTAGGACCCAAAAACTAAACTAAGAACCCTAAAATATCAAAAAAAGCCATTAACAAAAACATCTGATTCAACCCATATCCATGATGATCATGGTTCCTTGAACACCTATTTCTTTGGTGTAAACTTGTGTTCAGATCTCCACATTCCTCTGAATCATCTTCATCTTCTTCTTCTTCTTCTTCATCCCATGAGCTCTTATTTCCACCAGTCCTACTTCTTGCATTAACACAAGAATTAGGGCTTTTCACTTCAGTACTGGAAGAAGTAGTGTTCTTTATGCAAAGCCCACTGTTTCCAATGATATCAAGCCTCTTACCAACCCTACTTATGAACTCATCTGAGACCACCAGGTCTCCACTGAGTTGGTTTTGACTCAGGTTTAATTGTTCAAGACTTTGGAGTGACCCTATGTTTGAAGGGACAGTCCCATTGAGTCTGTTGTTGTCAAGAGACAAAGCAGTCAGATTCTTTAATTTTGACAAAGAAGTTAGGATTGGTCCCATCAACCCACATCTTGAAAAGCTCAAAACTTTAAGGGTACCCAGTGACCCAATGAACAAGGGCATACCTGTGTTTATAGGGTTGTCTTGAATGACCAAATACTCTACCATCTTCAGACCTGCTAAAGATTCAGGCAATGGCCCACTTAGAGAGTTATGACTCAGATCTAACAACACCAACTTGCTCAAATTTCCAAGTTCCTGAGGTATCCTTCCAGTAAGGTCATTGGATCCCAGGTCAATCTTTTGAAGAGACTGAAGTTGACCAAAAGAAGATGGCAGTTGGGCTTGCAGCATGTTGTAGCTAAGGTCAAAGATGGTCAAACTTGTCAGGGATCCAATTTCTTGAGGGACTGAGCCAGTGATCTGGTTGTAGCTGAGGTCAAGCTCTTGGAGATTCACCAGCCCACAAATCTCATCTGGGATTTCACCAGTTAAGTTGTTTTGTGAAAGGGAGAGGATCTTTAAGCCCTGAATGTGACCTAAACTTGAAGGGATACTGCCATGGAGACTAGGGTTTGAGACAAGTGCTAAATGCTCTAAAGATGAGAGAGAGTTGTTTTCAAAGAGGGATGAAGAGAGAAAGAATGGTGACTCAGTGAAACAGTTGAAAAGAGATAGAGTCTTGAGATATGGAAGCTTAAGCAGAGCTTTTGGAGACAAAGTGGCAGTGGGTTTGCAGGGTGGGGTGAGGACGTCCGTGCCAATATGAATCTTGGTCACATGAAAGATTGTAGGGTTGTAATCTTGTTGATCATCACCACCACCACCATCTTCTTGAACCATAAGCTCACACTGAACACCAGGCCATGGTGTCTCTGTGCATGGCTGTGGGTGCACCTGGGCCCACGTGGGATCAGCCAAGAGTGAACCCATTACCTCAAAAAGCCCTAAAAGCTCACCATCTTCCATGCTCACACCCTCTGAATATGCAAAGGCAGTAGTGAAAGCCATAAGTGCATGAAGCAAAACAAGAAGAAGAAAAGAAAAGGAAGCCATTTTCATGAGTTTTGGGGAGGAGATGGATGCAAACAAAAGTGGGAAGATAAGATAAACTTTTATAAAGGCGATGAAACCATGGAAAGGGACAAAGGATGGTTGGAGGTCTTTGGGTTTTGGATATTTGCACTCAAACCCCTCAAGATATTGTAATTTTCAGAATACATCCACATGAACTATTTTATGTTATATTGACTCCATAGACTGTGTTATTGTGAATCAAAACTTGGAATATAGTTGAAAATGAACTGGAATGTAATAGATTTGGATGAAAATGGAATTAGAGAAATAAAGAAATAGTTGAGGGGGTGTAAATGAAAATAAAAAAGATTGGAATATTAATGTCAGTGAAAAGGCTGCTTGGTCTTGAGAGCCCAAAATGGAAACCAGGAGCTGTGTTTGCATGGCAAATAAGGATTGAAAAAGACCTGCCAGATACAAACACGCTTCACTCAATTCATATCTATATAATATATATATATATATATATACACACACACAAAGAGAGAGGGTCGAGAACAGTTCCACATAAAAGAATACAAAAACAGCTTTATATTAAAATCATGTGTAAAATCACATTTGATTCATCCGACTTTGGCTGCAATTTAAGGTCACAAGACAATTTGTCGGCTCACCCTCGCGATGACCATGTTTCGTTATTGCATGTAAAATCACATATGATTTAATCGTTTTCTTATTCTCTTGTTTAGACCCTATTCACGTTTCATCCTCCATATATATATATATATATATATATATATATATATATATATATATTACAAAAATTATGAGAATCGTATGTGATATAACACATCCACAAGAATTAGTGTGAATGGTCAATGTGACCAAAGCCACGTAAAAACTCATATGTGCAACCATTCATTAAATTAAACGATTGAATCACATCTGATTTTACTCTAAAATTTGAAATGATTTGATATTTTTCGAGTTTTTTATGTATTAAAAAATAAGTTAATAATGATAATAATAATAATAAAAAGGCAATGGATTGGAGGGATGGAGACGTCACTTTCAACATCATGAGGGAACCACAACTCTGACCAAACATATTATGTCTTGTCATTTGACACTTACTTCTTTACTACTACTTATTTTTAAACTAATTATTTATTTTTTTAAATTCATTAAACATAACAATAATACAGATTTATGTAGTTTTAAACAAACAATAATATTTTTTAGTATTAATTTAAAGATATCATAAAAATTAAAAAATATATAAAAGTTCTCATTTTTTGTGTAATTTCTTTAATTCAATTTCTTTATTATAATTTAATTTAGCCTTAATGACGAAGTAATTTTTTTTGGTTTAATTATATAATTTTTATAAAAATAATAATTAAGTATTCTGTTTGAATTCAATAATTATCCTAATTATATTTTAAATGTATTTAAACTGAGAATTTTATCATTGATTTGATTATATTTATCTTCAGTTAGTTACAAAAATTCAAATATGGAGTTTAATAAGTTGTACTTATGTACAATTTATTTGTGATCTTAAATTTTAAGTATTATGCATCAATAAACAATATTTCATGTATAAAAGATGGTTTTTAAGAGTTTTTGTAAAATATTTTATAATATACTATAAATATCAATACTTTTTTTAATCATTATTCACTATATTTAGATATAACAATCTAAAAACGTTTATGTAAGATACATAAGAAATTAAAGTTATATTTATTTTATTTCATAAATAATTAAAATATGTTAAATAATTT